CCTCTACCCTCATTCTTGCCCCCTTCCCTGCCCTGTCCCCCCCCATCTGTCCCCTTTTCTCGGTCCTCTCCTCTGTTCCAGACTCTGACGACGACGAGGGCGGCGGCAGTGACCACGACTATGACGACGACGACGGCGACCACGGCGGCAGCGGCGACGGCGACGGCGACGACGATGGCGATCGCGACGGCGGCGGCGGCGAGGGTGACGACGACGACGACGTCGACGACCACGACGGCGGCGACGACCTCGACGGCGACGGCGACGGCGGCGGCGACGACACCGACGACACGCAGCATTGGGTGACCGAAGGGATGCTCGGATTGCCGAGGTCCCGCCTGCCTCTCCACTCCTTCTTCCCCTCCCCTTCCCCCTCCCTCCCCTTCCCCTTCCACCCCCCTCTCCCTCCCTCACCCTCTCCTTCTCCCGCTTCCGCGTCCTCCCTCCCGCCCTCCCTCCCACGCCCCCCATCCCTCTCCTCCTCCCCCTCTTCCTCCTCTTTCTCCCCATTCCTCCTCCTCCTCCTCCTCCTCCTCCCTCTTTCTCCTCCTCCTCCTCCTCTTCCTCCTCCTCCTCCTCCTCTTCTTTCTCCTCCTCTTCCTTCGTTGGCCCGAGATGCAGCGAGCATTTATCAATTTTCAGTGGGGCTTTCGCGTTTGGGTGTGGGCCCCCCCCGTCGGATGGGTTGCCATCGAATGTTTCCCTCGGGCTAACCTGTGGTGGTGGCGGCCGCGGACTTAGCGGCCCCTGAGGGCCCCCGAGACCCGATCCTTGAACTGAACGACGATCAATCGATCGATCAACAAACCGATCGATTGTCTGCGTTCGGCTTAAGAACACCCCCGAGGCCCCCCGATGACATCGAGTATATCACCAGCTCCGAAGACAGCGAACCCGAGACGATCAGCAGCGGCGGGGGCGAGTACGTCGAGACAATCTAGGAGATGGGGGGGATTCTGTGAAGTTCTTTCCTCGATCTGTTTCTCCCCCCCCTCCCTCTTCCTCCTCACCCATCATCCTCCTCCTCCTCTTCCTCTCTCTTTGCGTGCGCGTGCGAAGCGGGCGGACGATCGTTATCGCTATCATCATGCTAATGTGTGGCTCGGTCCCATCATCACCATCATAATGTTTATCGTTTCATTTCGCTTTTTATGATTTACTTACATTGCAACGATTTAAGCATGATCCATGCGATGCCGGTTCTATCCATGCGGCTATAGCAGAACCGGTTCTATCCGATAGATCCAAGGATCCTCTGGGAAGAAGACACGACAAAAATATAAACACAGGCGTACCCTCCCCGAGCCGACCTCGATCTGATACGTGGGTCCGCTCAACAACAAATTTTGTCCAAACCGACAGCGGCCGCTGTTGGGCAGGCGGCCCTTCTGTCTCAAATGAACAACGCCCGCGGCGGCAGACAACGAACCCTGCCCAACATGATCAAGACAAACGGTCGATCTTCTGGCCCATTATTTCCGTACGCGTAACGATCGTACCGATGCTATCCATGGCCAAAAATCACCATGACCTTGGAGACAGCGTGTTTGACGGGCGCTTGCCTTGGGAACATCTGGCGGCGCGTTTCAAACCGGGGGGTGGGCCCCCCCCACCAACACTCGACACGGTCGATCAGAACCAGGGGGACTCCCCTCCCCCCTAACCCCGCCCCTCCCAAACCACCCTTACCCCCCTCGGCGCCAGCGCCGGCGCCCGCGCTGGCGGCCGCCAGCAGCGCCGACGGCGGGGACGCAGCGACGATGACCAGAGTGGGCCGAGGGGGAGGGGGGGGGGGTGGGCCCCACCCCTTTGCCGGCGCCGGAGCCGGCGCTGGCGGCGGCCAGCAGCGCCGACGGTGAGGACGCAGCGAAGATTACCAGAGAGAACCCAGAGGCCGCAGAGTGAACACGCAAATCGCCACATCGAGCCCTCGCCCACCAGAAGCTACCGAGAGGCCCTGAGGAAGGTCCCCGAGGCCTCACACATGCTCCTCAGACGCCCACGAGACCCTTCTGACGAGACCTTGCGAGGCATCATCCATTAGAACTCTGACCCGAAGCCAAAACACGGGAGCGGGAGAAGCCGAAAGCCACACCACCACCACCATCACCACCACCACCACAAACCACCACACCACCACCACCACCGCCACCAGCACCACCTCCACAACCACCACAACGCACTACCACCACAACCACCACCATCACCACAAACCACAACATCACCACTACCGAAAACGCCATCACCGCCACCACCACAACCCACCACGACCACCACAACCACCACCACCACCACCACCACAAACCACCACACCATTACCAACACCATCACCAGAACCTCCACAACCACAACCATCACCAACACCCACCACCACAACAAACCACCACACAACCACCACCACAACGACCACCACCACAAACCACCACCACCCAACACCCACCACCACCACCAGCGCCGCTACCAGCAGCACAACCACCACAACCAAAACCACAGCCACTACCACCACCACAACCCACCACAAACCACCACGCCACCACCACCACCACCACCACCGCCACCACCACTACAACCACCACCACCTCAACCCACCACCACCACCACCACTACCAACACACCACACACACAACCACCACCACCACCGCAACAACCACCACCACTACCACCACCACCACCACCACAACTCACCACCACCACCACCACAAACCACCACAAACCACCACTACCACCTCAACCAGTCTACCACACCACCACCACCACCGCCACAACCACCACCACTACCAGCAGCGCAACCCACCACCACCGCCATCACCACCACAACAACCACCACCTCAACAAATAATCGCCACTACCACCAGCACCACCACCACAAACCACCACCACAGACCACCACACCACAACCACCACCACCTCAACCACAACCCACCACCACCACTACCACAAACCACCACCACACCACCACCAAATCAACACCGTCACACACACCGCCACCACCCACCGCAACAACCACCACAAGCACAACAAACCACCACACCACCACCAGAAGAACCACCACCACCGCCACCACCACCACCACGACCCACCACCGCCACCACAAACCACCAGCCCAACACCACCACAACAAATCACCACCACAACCACCACCACCACCACAACAAACCGACACAACCACCACAACCACCACCACCACCATCGCCACCACCACCACCACTACCACCACCACCACCACCACCACGACAAACTACTACCACACCACCACCGCCACCACCACCAAAACCTGAACCCACCACCACGACAAAAATTACCACTACCACCACCACAACCAGAAACTACCGCACCACCACCACAATCCACCACCGCCACCACCACCACCACCACCACAACCCACCACATCCTGCCACCACAACCACCACAACAACCACCACCACCACCAACCACACCACCACGACCACCACCGCCACAAGCCACCACCACCACAGCCCACCACCACCACCACCTCAGAGAGGCCCTAAAAGACTCCCCAGAGGCGCCCAGGAGGGTGCACAAATTGACCTTCGGAGGCCCCCGAGTGCCCTCCGACGAGACCCCAAAAGGCATCCATTAGGACTCTGACCCAAAACCGAGGCACGGTGGCGGAGCGTCGTCGTCGCCGTCGTCCTTGTCGACGCTCCCCGCCGCCGCCGACCGCCGCCGCAGGCACTTGCGCCGGGCCCAGAGAAGGAAGTCGTCGTCCCCGCAACCGCCGCCAGCCACCGCCGACGCAGGCGCCGGCCCGAGGAGAGGGAGAGAGGAGAAGTAGGGGTGGAGGGGGAGGGGAGAAAGGAAGGTTCGACCCCCCCGCCCCCTGCGTCACGGGAAGGGCGGGGGTTCGAACCCCCCACCTTCCATCCAGGGGAAGGGGGGGGCCCCTCTCCAAGCGACCATAGAACGCGCTCTTTCTGACTCGACATCTGAATTCCAGTCGAGGTCTTAGCTGTCAAGATAGGTTTATATGCCTGCAACGCGTTTTGCACCTTGGGAGGTCAGGGTACGCACAGGTCCCACCTGAGGGGTACACTCTCCTCTCCTCCCTCTCTCCTCGCCGCCGTCGCTGCCGCCCTAGTCGTGGTTCTGGTGGTGGTGGTGGTGGCTGTGGTGGCTGTGGTGGTGGTGGTGGTGGTGGTGGTGGTGGTGGTGGTGGTGGTGGTGGTGGTGGTGGTGGTGGTGATGGTGGTGGTGGTGGTGGTCGTGGTGGTGGTCGTCCTCTAGCCGCTTTGCCCCGCCGCTGGCGCTGCTGCACGGGGCAATCCCAAGAAGCCACGGGCCCTTGCTCTGCCCAGGACGAGGGAGGGAGCAACAGCGGCAAGAGGAGAGCCGGTGGAGGCCGCCCAAGAGCCCAGAGCAGGCGGGCTCGGAGGACCGCACGGCGTGGCCGTTGCAGCGGCGGGCGGGGTCAGAGGGCCGCACCGCATCGCCAGTGCATCGGCGGCGTCGGGATGCAGCACACCGTGGGCTCCACATCGCGCCACATCGCCGACGCGACAGCGATGCGGCACGGGCTCCCGGCTGGAGCCCGTGCCCACCGGGCGAGATTCCCAGATCACGCCAAACGAAAATGCCCGTCAAAAAAAGGAGCACGCTAAACGAAATGTCCAGATCACGCTAAAAGTGAATAACACCCACAACGGATCACGCTAAAAGACCTGCTACCAGATCACGCTATGGAAAAGTTGGTTTAGCGTGTACCTCACCTCCCGGACCATACACACCAAACGAAACCCCCTGACCGTACTGCGGCCCCATTTGTAGACCATCGGCGTTTTGTCCAGACTCCAACCGACGCCCCGCAAACGGGCGAGGAGCCAGAGCGGGGGCATGGATCCAGAGCCTGCCTCTGGAGACAAGATGTTGTATACATGCCCTACCCCTCAGGCATCCTGAGCTGAAGGTAGCAGTAGGGGTATGGAGCAAGCGTGGATCGGCAAGTTTGGGCAGCCCACACCCACACCGCCCCCTTCACTGGCCTGCTGCTGCTGAAGCAGCTGCTGCTGGTAGAGCGCCTGCTGCTGCGCCTTCGGGGTCGAATTAATTCAACTATGGCAGGGGACACGACGGACAGAGCCGAGGGAAAGAGCAATCCACACGAGATGTACGAGAATATCAAGGCTGGCGATGGGGCTCGGAGGAAGGTAGCCAACCTACCCGATCAGTACGCAGCACCGACAATCATGGGCACGAGATCGTTTGAGTGAAGTCCAAGACGCACACATGCTGGAGATTCGAGCCGATCAGATTCCGCTGCGCTCATAGATTCCCAGATCGTCCTTGTCCGCCACCGTGCCTGCGAAGCACGAGTTGGAGTTTCATCAGATTCCTCGCTCAATCCCTTGAGCCTCAGTCCTCAACCCCGAAGAGATATGCTTCAGGGACCCAGGCCCCGACAGCTCAAAAATCTCCCAGGGCCCCTGGCACTCCCGCACGGCCTGCTCGGGTCAAGAGGGCCAAAGACGGACAAGAACGCCTCTGCATTACAATCGAGGCACGGTGGCCACCAGATGTCGGACACACGCAACGAGAGACCCTGTGCAAGAGTGACCTGTGGGAAGCGGCCTCCCGAACGCTGCACGCGATACGAACGCAGCGGCTCGCGCGCTTGGGTTTGGCCCCCCGCGCCCCTGTTGGGAAGCCTGGCAGCGAAGGCTACTCTGGCGAAGGGCCACTCTCGAGTCAGGTCGAACGCCAGAAGCGTATGTATGTGGGCCTCGGGTCAGGCGGACGCCAGAAGCGAATGTCTGTGTGGGCCTCGGGGCAGGATCTATCAACATCGAATCGGGAAATCGGATTGAATCGGAATGTGCGCCGGATCGGGCCGCATCGGCGAGGAGTGGGATTCGAATGGGATCGACTGCGCCAAGATGCACCACATCACGATGCAAACATCGGGCCGCGTCTGATCGTTGGACTCGTGGAATCGAACTGGATCGAGCGGGAGGGAACGGATATCGAATCGGATCGATCGGACAGAAATGGACCCTGCGGGGCAACCATAGGAACGAAACTCGGCAGAAACATAAACATTCGACGGTCCGCGCGGTCCGTCGCATGTCTATGTTAGCCCGCTCCCTTTCTAGTTTTGTTTACACTGCGAACAACCACGGCGACTCCAGCGCCGAGAGGCAGGTGCAAGCGGCACCTCGCCGCGGTACGTTCGTGCCGTTCTCACTCGAGCACGGCCGGACGCGGGACAGAGGAGCAGCATGAGACCCTCCGCCGGCCAGGCCGAAGAACACCAGAGGCTGCCCCACGACTGGCGGGCACGAAGGACGGCAGGGCCCCCCCCCCGAACGGGCCTCGACATCACACCGCGGTCCGACGGCAACGAAGCAACAACAGCTCATCGCGCACGCCATCGTCGCCATGGGGCAGGGGACGGCCCCGCTGGTGGCCCGGCGGCGTGGCCCGCGCGGGCTCCGCCCGAGGCACCTACAGCCTCCAGCTCGGAGGGTGCAGTCGTCCTGCCAACCATGGCTGATCCGCAAGGGTTTTTTTCTTCGTGTTCGCTATGCTGGTCGTCTTCCCCCTGGTTTGGTCTCCAGTCCGCCCTCAACGCAAAACGACACCGAAACGAAAACGGCCCGCGAAACCGCCAAAACACTCCTCCTTCTCCTGCGTCTCCCCTCCCCCATCCTGCATCCCCCTCCTCGTCGTCCTCCTCCTCCTCCTCCTACTACTTATCCTCCCCCTCCTCCTCCTCCTCCTCCTCCTCCTCCTACTCCTCCTCCTCCTCGTGCAGGTCCGCCCCTGCAGCCAAAACTGCCACCAAAGGGGCGCTCCTGGCAACGGCGGGCCCGGGCCACAGACGGGTGCCACGATCGGGGACCTCCGGACCCGGGCCAACCCAGACCCGGGCCCGCAGGAAAGCAGAGCACTGCAGTGCAGGACGCAAGCAAAAGAACTGCAGCGCAGGGCTTCGCAGACCCGGGTCAGCCAATAGGCGCGGCCGCCCCGCGGCCACGAGCGGCTCGCTGACCCGGGTCGGCCAGAGGGGGTCTTCGCAGGATCCTGCAGGATCCGGTGCGCTGGCCGACCCTCGTTTGCGTTGACCCCCGTCTCAAGGCTCCCGACACGAGACGTAGACCTCAGGACCGGCCCGAACGCCCGAGCCCCTCCCGAGCTCCGAGCGGCCCTCACTGCCAGCGCCTTGGCTGAGCCAGGCCTCGTGGACTTCCTCGCCAGGCGTGGCCGCCTGGTGGCAAGAGCAGTCCGCACCGAGTCGGGGAATCAGAGCGGCTCGGCACGCGTGTCGAATCGGACCGCATCGAATCGGCCCGAAGCGGCGACGCCAGGATGCACAAGAGCGCCACGCGAACACAAGGCCGCATCGGGCTGCCCGAAAGTCGGAATCGAACCGAACCAAGCCCGCCAGCGCCGACATCGAATCGACTCGATCGGATCGAAATGGACGGTGGACGGAGGTGGTGGAGTCGCTTCGCATGAGATCTGACGTTGCGACCGAAAATGCAGCGTTGAAAAAAATACGGCGGAAGCCACAGACCCGACCTTTGCTGCGGCATGGTTCGAGCAGGTTCAACCTGTGATGGTCTCGGGGCCCAAAACCAGGCGGAAATGACCGGTGCGGAAGAGATATAACACCTCCCGTTTCTCAGGGTTGCCATCCGTCTGGCATGGTGCTATGTTTGGATCGTTAGGGGTCCTCGTCTGCCCCATCATACCAACCATCCGTGTCGCATACATGTCGAATCCATGTCGAACGCGTCGAATCCTTGTCGAATCCACGTCGAATTCACATCGAATCCACGTCGGTCGCACCTCGGAGTACAAGAGAAACACTGCCATTTACAGGACAGGAAAGGCCCCCCGAACATGCAAAGTACAGTCGGGATGTTTTGCTTAGCGTGTCGCCACGGCGGCCCCGGCGACACGCGATGCGCTGCAAGCGGATAGCGGGTACTTCCGCTCCGCGGGGCGGGAGGCTGGGAAATGCTCGGGACCTTGACGCCCTGTGGCTGAGACATGGATAGTGTGTCGCGCCGAAGCATGGTGGGCCAGAACCGGCGGAACGACACGCTAATCAAACGCTCCCGACCGCAAAATCTGGAAACCAAAAGGCACCGATACAGCTACTCCCCGGACCTCTCCCTCGGCGCGTTCTCACCAGGATTTCGGGGCGCATCCAGCTGTGGCGACGAGGCCCCCCAGGAGGCCCAAACGAAGGAAAACGAGGGAAAAGCGGCCGTGGGGGTACCTTTTACTCCACCGAGGAACGCAAGCGCTCCCGACCGTCAGTGGTGGCCAACCGGCCACGGGACGTGGAGCGTACACTCCGGGCGAGACCCGGCCAAAGCCCCGCCCCACTCCCGGCGCGCCTGCGCGGTCCCGGCCTGCCCCTGCTGGGCCGCCAGCTGCTGCTGCTGCTGCGCTGCCAGCGCGGCCTGCCGAGCAAGCGCACAATTCGGTTTCCCTCCTCTTCCGCCTCCTCCTCCTCCTCCTCCTCCTCCTCCTCCTCCACCTCCTCCTCCTCCTCCTTCTCCTCCTCCTCCTGTGCTCCTCCTCCTCCTCCTCCTCCTCCTCCTCCTCCTCCTTCTGTGCTCCTCCTCCTCCTGTGCTCCTCCTCCTCCTCCTTCTCCTCCTCCTCCTCCTCCTCCTGTGCTCCTCTTCCGCCTCCTCCTCCTCCTCCTCCTCCACCTCCTCCTCCACCACCTCCTCCTCCATCTCTTCCTCCTTCTCCTCCTCATCCACCTCCTCCTCTTCCTCCTCCTCTTCCTCACGTTGTTCCTCCTACCCCGTCGCCCGCATCCTCGGTTCTCCGCCCCCCTCCTCCTGCTCCCCAACACTCCTGGAAGCATCCAGACGGCAACCTGAATACAATACTTGACGAGGCTTGGGACGACGACCCCGATAGGTTCCTCAGTCACGAGCTGGCCCGAGCCACGGTCCAAGAAAGACTCTGGAATGCCGCCAAGTGGCCGCATTACAGCGGACTCGGGCTCGAAGAAGGGGTCGACACCTCAGATGTCCCAACGGCATATAACAGATCTCGAGCGCATGGGAGCTCTTAAGACTCAAGGGGCCAAGCAACCAAAAACCTGGCCCGCGCTACTGCCTGTTCAGCCTGCAAAGGGCAGCCAGCGGTAATCTAGTGGGCATGTTCCTAAGTACCAGCGCAAGTGCGCGAGGGCCGCTGACCTCCGCAGGGCTATTTTATTCGTCTGCGCAGAAGTCTTGATAATCTCTTTGCTTTTCGAACTCAGTTTTTTCTCGCGGGCCTTCGGAGATCGAGCGCAGCCGCGGCACGCCGCGATGTAAAAGTACTGGCGGCGGCGACAGGGAACGATGCGTTCTGCACACGCGCTGAGTGGTTAAAATCCCAGGGCGGCACGCGAATGCAAAATAATCGCCTCGGTCGACGGGGCCCGCGCGAGGGGCAGGCGGCAGGAAGTCGGGACAGCGGGCCCTATCATCACCAAGGCTGCGAAAAATCCGCTCCAGGGCCTCAAATAACCTGAACCGCGCGCAACCCTGAATCTAGGGGGTGCTCATGTAGAGGAATGGAAAGAAGCGCAACTGGCGCGCGCACGCACGGGAACAAATGCTTCGCGAGGTCCGCGCAAGAGCAGCCGTCGCGACCCTGACGGCCATTGAGCCAACGCGCACCGCGCGTGGCCCGCGCAAGCGAATCGGCAGCTCACCAATCAAAAAACGCCCAGGCCACGAGAGCGCGCGGGAGCGCTTTGCAAATGTATGTGGCACGTGGTACATGTGGTGCAAGCGTGGTGCAAAAGCGGTATAAAAGTGGGGTAATAAGAGTGGTGCAAAAAGTTTGCGTAATAGTGGTGTAAAAAGGATGTGAAAGTGGTGTCAAATTGGTATGAAGGTTTCGCGTCGGGTTGTTGAATTCGTGTCTTCTGGTGTATTCCCGGGCGCGGTGTCCCATCCCTGTGGGCCCCTCAGAACTGCATTGATCCATTGGCTCCTCCGTATTCCTGGGGGCGCGGGCGGAATCTCCGGGAGGCCCTGTAAGGGTAGTGCAAGCGTGGTGTAAAACTGTGGTGTAGAAGTGGTGTGAAAGTGGTGCACAAGCTGTGTTACAGTTGCGCAGCTGCTGTGCAACTGTTGTGTGCATGTTGGGCGGGCGCCTCTTCGCGGGCCCAAGAATGGAACCACAGCTCGCGGTGCGCGGTCGCACCCCGCGGCTCGGCGAGCGGAGCGGCGCGCGGCGCGGCTCGACGCGCCGCGCGGCGCGGGACGGCATGCCGCTCGCCGAAAAAAATCACGAGCTTGCGCGGTCGGTCGCCCGCGTGGAACGGCGCGGCACGACGGGGAACCTGGCGCGGCGCGCGCCACGGCGCGGCGCGGCCCGCGGACTCGCGGGTTGGCACCCGCCGCCATGGCGCCCGGTGGCGCTCGACGTGGCAGGGAGCGGCGCGCGGCGCAGCACGGCGCGCCGCGCTGCACGGCGCGGCGTGGCGCGGCCGGCACGCAGTGGGGCGCCGGCAGGCCCGCGGGTTCGCAAGCTGGTCGGACGCGGCCCCCCAGAAGAGGTGCGCCGCTGAACCCCTTCGGGCAATCGCTGCTCGAGGCATCAAGCAGCAATCGCAGCAGAGTGCACTTAGGAACTTAAATCTCATCATCAGGCGGCAACGCACCGCGCCGCTGGACTTACCGTTCCCTTTTACGGAGAGAAGTCACGTGCCGCCCTTTGCAGCCTTAACACTACTGCCTGCGGGGCCTCATCCTTGCCATCGCTCGGAGGTCCAATTGCCGGCATGTTTCGGCATCGTGATTGCTCTCTTTGCTATATGATCCAGGATGCTTCTCGATGGCCTTCGCCGAAAAATGCACACGTCCGAGCGATACCGAGCATCCCGTTGGCCTGGTTGGGGCTCCCCGAGCCGCCCGACAACCTCTTGGCTAACCCCGACCCGAGCTCCACCCACCCTGTTTTACTCCCCGTGGGACGTTCCTCCACTAGGTGGCCACATGTGAACCCTACCCCCGCCCCCCACGATTTCTAAGGGGGGGTGGGGGTAGGCTTTCACAGGCGACCACCGATCCACCTCCACCTAAGACGAAGCCAATACCATGAGAAATTCGGATGGGGACAAAATCGAGAAACTCTCAGATCCGGCGGCTCTGGAGGATGTCTCGGGCGCCGCGGCCTTCTCAGAGCATTCCAAAACGCTGTGGAACGGATTTCATCTCGTCCTGGCCCCGTGAGTTTCCACTCCCTGCGTGGGCCCCGCCGTGTCTCGGGCAGAAAACATTTGGGGGGGACGCCTCGGCGGGGACGTGCGGTACGGCCGGACCTGGGACAGAAGAGCATCCTTCAAAGCATGGGACCCTCCGCCAGCCCAACTCAAGAGCAGTCGAGGGTACCCTCTCCCCAAGGATGGACAAGAGCATCCAACCAGCACGAAGAGCACGAAGGTATCCTCCCCGAGCCGACCCCGATCTTGCACCTCGGGCCGAGACCGTCAACACACCCGCGCCCGCGGAGAAGTTCTTGGGCCTCAGTGCCGCGCTGGGCGGCGGCGGACCCCCATGGAATCCAGCAGGCCCCGAGTCCCACCGGAGGTTCCGGAGGCGACTTCCCAGAAGCTCGCCAGGGCATCAAGAGGGAGAGCTACTCGCCTGTCGCGAGGCGCTCGCTGCCACGCCTGCTCGGGGCGCTGGATACACCACGGGCCCGTGTGGCGTCTGGAGAGAGCTACACAAGCTGCTGAGAGGTCGATAACCCCGACGCTCGCATAGGGATGTGCAGTCAACCCGAATAATTAGGACGCACGATACGGATGCGAGGGCCGGGGGCCTTGGAAGGCCATGTCGACACTATGAGAGAGGGGCGCGGCCAGCGACAGCGGCCAAGATGGGCCGAAGAGGGGAAACATGCAAGGGCAACCTTGGAAAGGCGTTCATCCTTACTGTGCGCGTTGACTGTATGCTGCTCAATCAGATCGCACCTGCTCGGTCGGAACGTCAGGATGCTGAAAGTGGCTAGCCACCAAACAAAGGTCGAGAAACTCGCCGCCTCTCGAAAGCTTCAGAACAGGGTGGCCATCAATGGTGCTGCGGGCCTTCTCGCCGAACGTTGTTGTTGCTCGGGGCACGCGCAACCGCAAGGAGCCGCAGCCACGTCCCTTCTCTGAACCTCAGGAGGAAGCTACGTAAAGCAGATCGCCGCAGAATCTGCTCTGTCCACTCCGCCTTTCCTCCCAGCGTGCTTGCGAAGGGACCCGCTGAGAGCGGGAGTGCAAGACCGCAGCGCTTTCATCTGGATACCGCCAAAGAGGACAGCCGCTCACTCCTTCGGCAGCAGGCCGCCGAGAGCTCGGGAGCGCGGGTCTCAGCCCGCCGCCAGACCAGGCGTGTTCTCGTGCTGGCGGGCATTCCTCCCTCCTCCTCCTCCTCCTTCTCCTCCTCCTCCTCCTCCTCCTCCTCCTCCTCCTCCTCTTTCTCCTCCTCCTCCTCTTCCTCCTCCCTCCTCCTCCTCCTCCTCCTCCTCCCTCCTCTTCCTCCTCCTTCCTCCCACGTCTTGAGATGCTGGGACGTGGGGACAGGCTTGGGGCGGCAGCGGACTATGGCGTGCGAGGCTTGTGGCGGGCCTGTAAGTTGTCACATCGTTATGGGAGGAAGTTACTGAAAGAGCGCATCCACCAAACTAAGGGGGAGGAGTTTCACCAGTCTCGATGATACCTACCCCCCAGATTCAAAAAACCAGGGATGGGTCCTCCTCCTCCTCCACAGCCCCCCCTTCCACCTTCCAGCCCCCTCCTCCCTCCGGAGAACAAAAGAACGTCCACGGCGAGACCATCGATCGGCGTGCCGATGGCGATCCGAGACGGCTACAGCGAGCTGGTCACGGGCGACACATTTGGAGAATATACTTTGACTAAAATCGGGCATCTGCAAGACTGGGTTTGATGGGATCTGGTTCAGTGATGCGTGTAGTGGCACGCCTCCCCCGCCCCATTCCACTGACCGGGTCTGCCGTCACCCGAAAAAACACTACCTACGGCAGACATGGTTTAGTGACTCCAGCAAATTCTTTGGCTTCGGGGCCTTATTACTAACTGGGTCCTGGCTATACCGACGAGATGGCGCGAATTCTGGGGGAACAGAATACCGATCCGACACCGCTACTCCAAAGACCTCATTCTGGGTGCGCTGACCATCGATCCCAATCACAAGGACGAAGGCCCCGAAAGCGAAAACGAAAGAAGAACAAATCGGCAAAGTTACGACCGGATGCCGGCGGTAAACCGTCAACCTGGCTCCCGCTGGAGACCTCGACTTGCTACATTAAATGGGTAAGCCAGCTCAGAGAGCCAAAAGAGAGCACATGATGCATGTATGTAGAGCATCAGACGACCGCATGTTCCAGCGTCGGCAGAGAATCGGGTCCTACAAATAACCCAAGCTAGAACCGCCACCGTGCCTCGAGGCACGAAAATTTGGACGCCCGAAATGGGTACGGAAAAATGGGTAGAATGCCCAACAATTAATGATGTCCCAAACCAACAGCGGCCGCTGTTGGGCAGGCGGCCGTCTGTCTCGAATGGACACAGGCCGCGGCGGCGTGGACAGCGAATCCTGTTCAAGATGAACAGGAACTGCTGTTGGGCATTGTACCCATTATTTCCGTACCCATTTCGGGCGTCCAGAGAAGTGGAGTGCCCTCAGGTCCTCAGGAGTCCTTGACCCTCAAGGCTGAATATTGCGTGCGCTCTCCAAGAGACCCAAGGGGCCCCGAGCCCTGGGCTCTGCCGCGCGCATCCGCTGGGGCGCCCCGCACACTGTCCGGGGCCCGTCGCGCCTCCTCCTCCTCCTCCTCCTCATCATCATCATCATCATCCTCCTCCTCCAGCTTCTCCTCCTCCTCCGCCTCCTCCTCCTCCTCCTCCTCCTCCAGCGTCTCCTCCTCCTCCTCCTCCAGCGTCTCCTCCTCCTCCTCCGCCTCCTCCTCCTCCGCCTCCTCCGCCTCCTCCGCCTCCTCCGCCTCCTCCTCCTCCTCCTCCTCCTCCTCCTCCTCCTCCTCCTCCTCCTCCTCGTTTGCCCCTCAGACGGGAAGTAGCCGCAGGAGGGGCCGAGAGGGGCCCAAGAGGCGCCCAGGAGACGGCCCAGGAGGCTCCCGAGGCGGCCACGGAGCGCTGCGAGGCGCTCAAGATGGACCGACGACGGCTTACGAGGCCACCAGAAGAGGCCTCAGAGGCAGCATCAGTGACTTCCCGCGCTAGGGCATTCTCCCATTCCCAATCTGCGAGGCGGGGATTTATCCATATCCACCGCCCGGGAACCGACGTCCTCTTGCCCCAGCGGGCGGTGGATATGGATATATTTCGGCCCCCGGGGGAAAATTGACCCTCCAGGCGGCGGTCATGTGTAAATTTCCGCCTCGGACCCCCTCCCTGCGCGTATCCCCCCCTACTCGTGTTCGAGGGACTCGGGTTGGCCCGATGGGGCCGTCAAGAAAATGACGAGGCCCAGTCTGGAATTTGACGCGAGCTCCCGCCGCAGACATCCCACGAAAACTGCGCCGCAAAAATCTGGAACCGGCTCGTCAAAAAGCGCTGGCAAACCTGCGTTGCCCCGAACGCTGCCCCTGCCTCACGAATCCTACGTTTCTGGCGAACTCGCATTCCCCTAACGTTGCCCCTGCCTCGCTTCCGAATAAGACAAAGCCAGGACGAGGATACAACATCGGGTGACGATAAATGAAAGAGCGTGTTCTACCGTTGCTGGCAGAAAACCGAGAGGGGTCACTGGGAGGGTCCAACCCGTCCCCCCCCCCCCACTCTCGAAAACCGGACGGGGTCACTGGGGGTTCCAAGGCCCCCCTCCCCCCCCATCCATCATGAAAAGGGGGGGGATCACTACCGGTTCGAACCCCTCCCCCCCCTCCTGGAAAACCGAGGGGGGTCACTACCGGCTCGAATCCCCCCCCTCTCCGCCCCCCTCCCCCCTCGCTGCAACGACTCCCCTTCCCATCACACTCCGTATGGGGGACTGGTGGGAACAGTGGTCGGGAGGGTGGTGGGGATGGTGGTGGGGAGTGGGGACAGTGGGGAGAGTGGGACCGTGGTGGGGTTGGGATGGTGGTGGGGATGGTGGTGAGGAGGGGGACAGTGAGAATAGTGGGACCGTGGTGGGGACAGTGGTGGGAACAGTGGGGGCAGTGCGACAGTGGTGGGGGCACTGGCGGGGACAGTGGGGACAGTGGTGGGGACTGTGGGAACAGTGGGACAGTAGTGGGGACAGGTGGACAGTGGTGGGGACGGTGGTGGTGGGGACAGCAGTGGGACAGTGGTGAGGACTGGTGTTGGGGGCAGTGGTGAGGGCGGTGGTTAGGACGGTGGTGGGACAGTGGTACGGTGGGGAGAGCGGTGGGGACAGTAGGGACAGTGGGACAGTGGTGGTGGGACAGTGATGGAAACAATGGTGAGGACGGTGGTGGGGACCGGGGACTCTTTTGCCGTCGGCGACGTGGAGGAAGGGGGGGGGGTTCGAACCGGTCGTGACTCCCCCTCGGTTTTCTGGCGGTGGGGGGGAGAGGAGGGGGGTTCGAACCGGTAATGACCTCCCCGGTTTTCTGGAGAAGGGGGGGGGGTCGCCGGGGGAAGGGGGGGGGGTTGAGCAGGGGGGGGGGGATTTTCGGAGGGGAAGGGGGGAGACCCCAGGGATCCCGAGGAAGAGGGGGGGGGAAATTTCCATAGTAAGGCGGCGGTGGATCACGCTCTCTCCGAGGAATCGAGAATCTCTGGGATCCAGCGGCCCCTTGAACGGGCGCCGCGGCCTGCCCAGAGCGCTCCAGAACGCTGCAAGAGCGCTCACGAACACTCTGGAACGGGTTTATCCCCGTCCTAGACCCGTCCGACTAACCCCTTGCCTGAGGCCGGCTATTCGTTCTGAGTCATTCTTGTGATGTGCAGTGTTGCTTGTTGCTCACGACGCGGGGAGGAGGCAGAATGTCAAGGCAGAAGGCCGCGAGGAAGGTCAGGGCAGGAGGCCTCTCCTCCTCCCCCTGAGCTGCCCCGTCCGCAGTCCTACGTTCCCCCACAAACGTGTCCAGCGCATCGAATTTCCGAAAACCGATGCCCCCCGTGCGCCCCGATTGTCGACGCCCCTCGGGTTCCGGCGGCGGCCGGAGATCTCGTTTTGCATCGTTTTTCTGCGGCTCGATGCGCCAACGGACCGAACTCACCCCCCCCCGTGCCTCCTCCTCCTCCTCCTCCCTCCTCCTCCTCCTCCATCTTCTTATTATTGTTATTATTCTTTTTATTCTTATTATTATTCTTATTATTACTATTATTATTCTTCTTCTTTTTCGTCTTCTTATTCTTATTATTAGTCTTCTTCTTCTTATTATTATTATTCTTATTCTTCTTATTATTAGTATTCTTATTATTATTATTATTATTATTATTCCTCTTCTTCCTCTTCTTCCTCTTCTTCCTCTTCTTCCTCTTCTTCCTCCTCCTCCTCCTCCTCCTCCGCCTCCGCCTCCGCCTCCTCCTCCTCCTCCTCCTCCTCCTCCACAATTACTCAATATGAAAATACTCTCCCTCTTCCCCTGATGGCGTCCGGGTGATGGCCGCGCACCCTCCGCGTACTGTTTTTTACACACAAGATTCCCGGGAAATCCCTGGAAACGACTCTCGCTGAGGCGCTGGCGTCATTTTTTCCCAAAATGCTGCTCTCGTTGAGGCGCCGGCCTCATTTCTGCTCCCGACTCGTTCCGAATCGTGCTCCCGCTGCAGCGTGGACCTCATTTTCAGGATCGGTGTTTGCCCTCCGTCGTTCAGGATGGCGTTCTCGCCCCAGCGCGGGCCTTTTTCTCGCGCGCCCATCCGCCCGCCACCACCGCGCCGCACCGCCACCACCACCACCACCACCACCACCACCACAACCACAAGTTGCAGCACCAGCACCAGTACCAACACCACCACCACCAGCACCACACAATTACTCAATATGAAAATACTCTCCCTCTTCCCCTGATGGCGTCCGGGTGATGGCCGCGCACCCTCCGCGTACTGTTTTTTTACACACAAGATTCCCGGGAAATCCCGGGAAACGACTCTCGCTGAGGCGCCGGCGTCACTTTTTCCCAAAATGCTGCTCTCGTTGAGGCGCCGGCCTCATTTCTGCTCCCGAATCGTTCCGAATCGTGCTCCCGCTGCAGCGTGGGCCTCATTTTCGGATCGGTGTTTGGCCTCCGTCGTTCAGGATGGCGTTCTCGCCCCAGCGCGGGCCTTTTTCTCGCGCGCCCATCCGCCCGCCACCACCGCGCCGCACCGCCACCACCACCACCACCACCACCACCACCACCACAACCACCAGCACCAGCACAACACCACCACCACCAGTACCCACCACCACCACCACCAGCACCACCACCACCACCATCACCACCACCACCACCACCACACCACCACCACCACCACCACGACAACCACGCACACACGCACGTACGCACGCACGTGCACCACCACCCACTACGCACGCG